CGAAAAAGGTTTGAAGAAACAAGACGGAGTCGAGGTTCTTTCACTACACGAGAATCTGTTAAGAGCAACTAAACGAATTCGTGTAACGATTTTACGTTCACAGACAAAAAAGTAATAAAAGCATACAAATCTAAATACACTTGAATTTATTTCACGAGCAGTTTCGAAATTGTATTACATCGGTTGCTCTCATAATCCAAATGTATAAACCATACTAGTGTGTTTCAATATTTACAAAGATACCACCTGACATCCACATGCACCATTTGTTGTCATAACCACTAGTGTTAGAAAAATTATAGCTAACTGCATCTGTGTCCTACTTTCCAGAGCCGACGCAGTGTTATTGTTATACAATTGTTGTTAAAACACGATTAAGAAGCTCTAATTATCGCGACTGTAGGTTCTAAACACCAGTTGTATATTAATTAGATTTGCTTTAACGACTTTTAACTCAATTATTGTGCTAATTGTGTTGTTATTTTTAATCAACCATTCATAATTCCGTTATGTGCATAACCAAATTCACAGAAATCCATTTTATTAATATTTCAATTTAATATGTAAAGTGGACGATGTTTGAGACCCACTCAAAATAAGTAAATTCAAAATATGTCATAATTAACATTAGTGTCTACAAAATACCAAAGTTGCGTTAAAAAGAAAAAAGCTTGACTTATTTGTGGCCTGAACATTTTCGCTACAAAGATTACAGACATTATTTATAATATTTCCAAGATTTTCGTGTCTTCTTCAAGAATATTATGAAGAAAAAACTGTGCTGGTGAGAAAAGACCATCAAAAATCGAATTATTTCACCATAAACTTCATCACGTCTATAAATTTATAACAATATGGCACATCATTGGAAGTTTTATATGTAACTTCAATTAGAAATTAATAATGTAATTACAAGTCAATCTTAGGTTAATGACCAAAATTTATAAATATTCAATTTTCGTTTTTGGGTCGGCGTTCAAAATTTATAAACAGAATTTGGAAATAACTCAACTGTTGTAGTAATGTTGTATAAACGGCATCAGTATGGAATACGTTTAAACTTTCAATAATTTTATTATGGATAAAAGTCTAGGATATATGAAAGTTATTGTAAGTTTCTCCAGATATTATTGTAAATTTATGAATCTGATGAAGTTTATGGTGAAATAAATGAAACTACGCTGTTAAAGTCTCACAAATTTGTTTTTAAACTTGCTTAAATAACTGTTAGCCAAATATACCACCCACAGCTTTCAACGCAAAATTGTACAAGTTAAAAGTTTTTGGTTTACTTATTTTACATTTTTTTCGTTTGGGAATAATTGTAACTTTCGCAATCTTTTTAAAAACGGCCAGTCCGTTTTATTACGCAATTTCGTGATTTTCTGTGGTATAAATTTATAAAGTTGCACTGAGTTTTGCTATTGGGAGATGATAATTTCGTATTTCCTTTGAGCACTAATGAGGGATATCTTAGGGCGGAGTTTGAATGGGTAGGCGGGGCATCTCTTTAAACTTTCTTTGTGTGGAAAATTCTACTTCTATTCAGTAGTTATATAGTGCAAGTTCTGGCTCACATGTAATTTCTTTTTTTGGGAATAGTTGTAGCTTTCCCAATCTTTTTGGCAAAGGTAAGTCCCTTTATAGGAAACTTATTTAAGTAAATTTTTTTATCGAAATTATTCTATTTATTTATCAGATATTATTTCGATGTTTTTTATTTCGAAGAAATTGTTATACCCTTACAAGGAAACTGAATATACAGTAGTTACAGTTCATTGGAAACTATTTTCACGTAATTATTTGGCGCAATACACTTTCACTACTTTTCTCAAAACATGTAACCATCATATTCTTTAAAATTGATAACATCCAGGATTTATCAGTTTCAAAACGTGGATATCCATAAATTTAATTTACTAACTGTGTGTATTTACACCTGAGCGTCTAAATGAATACTCTTGAACTGTAAACTCCCACACACTGGTATAGAACGAACTATTCAAAAAAGCTTTATACCCTTCATGATTTTAATAAATTTATCCGTCCCGTTCAACTAAGTAAAATAACTAAATAAATCTCTGTCAGTCTGTTTTCATTTTATGTCATTTTCGTAAAATCTATTAATAAAATTTATTGAACTGTCGTACTTTCTAGCAACACAGATGGTTTGTGCTGTTGTTTACAAAACACAAGCGTCTGTCGAGGAAAACAACACATTTTTGGATTATTTAACAATGCTAAAAACTTTGGACATAATCTTGTTAATAATTTCTCCAAGTTTAGTTCCGAATATTATCAAACTTTTACAATAGCTGAATGAACAAGACTTTCCACACTATAACTGTCTGATATATTCTAGCTAGCTTAAGCAGAATTAACACGATATTTTACAACAAAACGTTCCAGAAGCGGAGCGCGTTAGTCGACTCTGCATACATCAAATATATTTGCCTAAACCGATTCAATCGATAACTTGAATTTTATTCGAGTTCTGCATCACCTCTGTAGTTAATAAATATGTCGATAATAGTAGTTCCAGAAAGCTCTTCCCTCATTAAAAGGGCGTCAGCAGCAATATCAATAAATTTTTTACTCCTAAATAAACTTCCCATTTATCAAAATCCAATTTGTCTAGTCTTCTAATAAAATTTAATAGACAAATAACAGTAAATCAGCTATTATTACGAACATTCCCGTCCTTCCCACAATCACGAATTCGACCCCGAAACCCCAAAACTTCATCGAATTCTAATCTTTCTCGCAGTCGCATTCCGTTGGCTATTATTAATTCTTCGATCCCGCCTCTCCTATGGCAGTTCTAAAACTCGAATGAAAGCGATTACAAGTTTCTGACAGGTGAAATTAATCGCGTGGTATGCAAGGGAAATTTTAAGAACCGGATATGGGTCGGGTTAAAGTTTGACTTCCTCTCGCTCCATTTTAACGGTCATTTAAAACAAATTAGGAAACATTATTAGCCAAAGTTTCGCCCACGCTTGTTACTACACACTCGAACCGACGTAACTATAGCACAATTGGTGTTACTCGGTCTAATTCGACCTACTCGAGCAAAGAATACTAGCTATTATACGCCGTCCGCAGCATTATTTCTTACTTTAATTAAAATACTCAAATATCTTGACAGAAAGCACTTTGGCGCGATTGTTTGACTTAACGTTCATCGTTTAAATTGCTCGGAACTACATAATAAAGAAAAAAGGTCAACTTAACCCAAACTTAGTTCAATCCCTTGCTGGATACAGCATAGTTAATTATGAACGACAAAGTTTCATTTATGATTTTCACAAAACGGCTGCAAAGAAAGGTGTGGTACGGGTTGCCTCGTGTGTGACGTCACTCGGTAGCCAAATCCGTCAAATTCAAATTTTATCGTACCCCTTTTTAGTACGTTTAAAATAAATGATAACAGTTAAACTAATGGATAATCATGTAATTTCAAAACTAATAAAGCTGCTTGCATTTAAAAAGACTGAACATGTTCTATTCAGATGCTACAAACTTACTTTGTCAATAGAAGCACCGGACAAGACGAATTATTAATACTGTTTAGAAGATTTACTTATATCAACGTTAAATGTGACCTTATTCTCTTGCCATACGTTAACAAAACATGGCACATGAAGTAGAAAAAGAAGCGAGGGTCGACAAAGTGCTCTCAAAACAGAAATCAGGAAACAGATCTACAAGCGTTGGCCTCGAAAACGAACAAATTCAAGTTTTGGGCACGGAAATGACACGAATCCGACCCTCTAGAAACGTCCCAGAATGTTTAATGATTTTTTTAATGTCTGCAAAGTCGTCATAAAGTACAAAGCTGTCCTAAATTTGTCTTATCGGGAGCTCATTTAAATTTAATAGAAACTCATTTAACAAGAACGTATAGAAAGTAAGAAATGATTTAAGACGTTAAAATAAGTAATTAATTAAAATGATTTTAATGAAGTTGTGAAATAGTAGATTAAATTTTGTACGTAATGCGTGTGTAATACTAATAATGCTGATATTCTTCTCATAATGCAATAATTAGATTTTTTTAAATTTCGAATTAAAAAAATGTATTGCTCTATTTCTGTTCCCTAGCGTATAATATACGTTTAACGAAATATAATGAAAAACAATTAACTTTCTTTACTAAAAGTTTAGCCATGGTAATTTATTTTTTAAACTCCAACGCCATTGTTCTATATTTCGTTCTGATAGCGTAAACAAGATAAAGCGACTGTAATAGTGAGGACGTCGCGCTAAAACGAGAATTGATACAAGATGGCCGCCGGGAAGCAAATGCAAATTACAAAAAAATACAAGCCTTTAATTATCCTTTGCGCCACTAATGAAGTCATTTAGATAAAAAAGCCGTCTTGTAATTTAACACGATTAAATTTTAAAAGCACAAAGAGTATCGTTTTATCAGAAAAGCCGCGGTCTTAATAGCCACCTTAGTCGAACCTCGAATACGCTGACCGCATTTAATAACAATCAGCACAACTGAAATGCACTGTGTTAAAAACTTAATTAAACCATTCAAGCTCTGGCATTTTAATTCCGGCGTAATTAATTTCTAAATGTGTGGGTTTTTTCGATTGAAATGGTGGATGCGCCGGGAGAGCTCAAAGACGAATTTATCAACCGAAACGAGATTTTGCAAGCTTGCAAATTCGCAAAATTACTTTGATGGTTGCTCCATTTGGAAAAAACGGCATTTTTCTCGTGCGAAAAGCGAGAAAAATCGTGTTTCATTAAACTGTCGACGTTACTTCTTTACATGCCGGAAAAAATCCAAAAACCCATTTGGCGCATGGCCAGTTGCTGACGTGAAATATACCTTAGGTTGGCCTAAATTCGGTTCCTTAACCGTCTATTCTTGGCCAGATCCCGCTCGGTATCGATGGATCTAGGGTTGTTTTTATGGATGGCCGACCCGACCGAATTGCACTAGATAAACCGGGAAGAAAATTGGGATTTTAATGTTTGCTCACCTTTCACTCCACGACTTCGTCGAGCTGATACCTGCAACAAGAAAAAACGGCAATTAGTCCAAAGTTATGGCGAAAAAGTACACAAAAAATTAGAACGAAGTTTTGGTGCAGACACGATATAAAGTTTTCTTGTTTGGGAAACAGAAAGGCAGGTGGGTATATATTATTATTTAAGATAGGACGTTGACGGAAACGGAAGACAGATAAAGCAGTGTACAAAGAGAACGTGCCTACAAAGGCTGCTCTGACGTATAATAGAATTTGAAATAATACGAAAAGACTCGCTGAATAAATGAAATAGTTCTTATAAAACAACTCGACGTAAAGTCGGAAAGATTCGACCGTTCGAACGAGAAATGCAAACGGGAAATTATTTCGAACTTGCCATGAGCATAATCTAAGTTTGGAACTCGTTCTCTTCGCAAAATACTTTGTCTATGAATGCAAACTTACTTCGTTATAGTTCTTGGAATGCCGTTTTGAAACTAGCAATTAATATAACACAGTATCGCATAGCTAAACCTCTTAAGATCTAAATAATATTAATTTTAAGTTGTTCTGCTCGAATAACATTCTCTTTTGAACATGAGTTAAAAACTTATACACACCAAGAAGTATTTTACTAGTAGTGATCATTAAACCCATAAAATCTTTATATGTAAATACAATGAAAAATATCCAAAATAACCTAAAAGTTTTTAACTAGACTACAAAATTAGTCACAGAAAATCTAATTAAAAACCGAAATGAACATTTGTTAGTTACACATGTGACAACTATCACAATATTGGTAACTTTAGACATCCGCTACAACATTAACTACTATACATACATGTCATTAAGAACCAATTTTACAAAAATATGATATTTGGAAAGTTTAGTCTTTGTTAATAACAGAAAAAGAACAAAAAAAAAACCTTGTACGCACCACGACACCGAAATAATTTTAAATAAATTTCGATGTGTTTTAACAGCTATTTTGCATATTAATTTTTTAAACTGAATGTGATCATTATTTACAATGGCAAACTAAAGCATATAATCACGAAAGTATTAAAATAGAATTTCATTAATGAGGTGCAAAATTGTTTTCGTCATAAAATAAAATTGGGATGAAATATTAATGACGTGTTGCGAACTAGAATTAGGTGCAAAAATCGTTATTTGAAATTATTCTAGCTTTATAAATTAGTTTTCCTCGAAAGCAAAAAAAAAACACGATTATAAATCTCACAGTAATTTAAGTACTTTCTGTTGTGAAGGCAAATAAAATACAAGCAACCAAGAAAACGCTGAAGTAGTGCCTGTCATTTTAATAGCCAATTAATTTTTAATTAAAAATTTGAAGAAAATTAAAAATGAATTTGACGGTGAAACTATAAGTAAAGGTTATACATTTAGAGTGAAATTGAGTTTTTAACATATAATGTTGAAAATTGAAATGTTGGTTGCTGCGTCGATAATTTCGGAGATTAACTAAGTATCTAGTAATATCATTCAAACGGCAACGGAAACTTGTAGTTTCACGAAAACAAATCTAAATTATTCTACAGTTTTAAATCAGCTAAGGAATAAACTCGAGATCATTTATAAACACAATAATTCTAACATTATACAAATTAACAACTTCGTTTATGGAAAGGAAAAACGATAAAGACCTCAAGTTCAAGCCCTGAGGAACGCTGGAATCAGCAATGTCAGCAATGAAAGTAAAGGATTTAGATCCCATTATTACCGATAGACCTTTCAAACATGATATTCTTATAACAAAATGAGATCACATTAGTTGTAAGTTATCCGATTATCTTATTATTACTTAGATTTTAGAAACGGACCTGAACTTGTTTCTTGTTAAATTGACAGTTTGTAAATTCTTGTGTTTGGATTTCTGTTGGATTTGCTGCCGACCAAATTAAAAAAGTGGTCTAAGGTCATTTCCACAGAACTTACCTAGCCCTTGACGTACGGACAATGTAAAGTATGTTTAAAGCAGGTAACCAACGGGATAAAATGTATTTTCAACACTAATAACAAGCTTAACTTCGAGTTTATGTATATGTTTATACATCGAAATAATGTCACGTAGAAATTAGTTTGATTTGAGTGAGTTTGTCTCTTCAAAACAGAGAACTAAAATTATTATTAAGCCACAATCGAATAAAACGTCCTGAATATTATGTTTTTTCTTATTTTATCATTATTAAGTAAAAACATATGCATTCTCACATTGTAGAAAAAATGGGATGACTCCTTAATTTGATCAATAAAAAATTTGCAATAACGTCATCAACATAGATAATACTAGTCGTAGAACAAAATAAAACTAGTCACAGCACACACCATTGAACGTGCGATTACACGTGTTCGTGGTACAATGTTACTATACCTTGCAAATATTTTTGCGAAAATTTGGACGTTTACATGGTATTCGTAATATACACACAAACTTTGGCAACAATCGGTCCAGTAGTTTCGGAGATTATGTGTCTAATGAAAATCGACAGAGACGCCAGACAGACAGACAGACGGACTGAAACGGAAGATCACTTTTTTCGTACTGTAGGTCGAGAGGTCATGAAACGTCGAGAAAACATGAAACTGGCAGGTCGCCTGACGAACTCGATTAGCTTACGCTCGGGAATAAAAAATGTTGTGGTCTATATTGTTAAGTAGAAGTAATAGTTTAACAAAATTTCATGATCTTTCTGATAATGCTCTTTTTTTTGTAGCCTAATAAATTACAGGGTCTCGATAATTATAGTTTTAATTTGAAGTCGTAGAAAAAGCATAGTATGTAACACGTTTATAAGCCTCTCTAGACACTCGTTTTTTAAACATTCGCTCCGCTTGTGATTAAATAAACTCTTTACTAAAGAGGCGTTTATAAAACTTATTACAATACACTGTGTAAAGTACTTATAATAAATTGTTTGGTGAAAGAATAAAGCGACAAGTTCTTATTAAAAGTACAGTGACAAAACAAACTTGACGTAGACGCATTATTTAAATTTCCATACTTATTTCGAATTTAATTCCCCATCTGAATCTTTTGAAGTCGTTAAGGTAGATCAATAATAATTTTATAATTGTTGACATTACCTTGAACTTTATTTTGTTCACGTAGTTCTTTTTGACAATAATCTCAGTGAATCGTGACTTCATTCGTACTTAAATGTCTCGACAAATAGAAGAACGGTGCTCGTTTCTAAGAGCATTTTTAACCATTAGAAAGAACAATTGTATTCCAATGGTTAAACTGTTTTGAATAAAGTTCAATTAACGCTCAAAGACAACTTTACTGCAAAACAACAATAAAACGGAAATATAACCTCCTTAATGAACAATCAAAAAACAAAGCCTTTCATTTTTCCGTAAAAAAAAGTAAAACGACTGAAAAAAAACGCGCTTTTTTCGCCCACATCCCTACTTTCAATATGTCCAAATCCTCAGTAAAAGAGAAGGAGAGCACAATACAATTTTTCTTGCTTCCTACATTGTGCTTTAAATTTGATTTTAATTACGTATAAAGCCCTAGCAAAGATGTATCTGCTAACAGACCACGGAAGACAATGGTGTGCATAGAAGCAAACTATCTCATTGGTATTTTATTTGTGTCGGGAAACATCCGAGCACAATTCTGTGACAAAATCAATGAAAAAAGGAAAAATACACCGAAACCTTACAAACCTGACTATCTCTTCTCGTAAAAAACCCACCACAACACAACTCGACGCTTTCAAAGGCAACGAAACGGCAAAGAATGTCTACGATTGTTTCAAACCCAACTCCACTTATTCCAATTTCAATATTCCTCCTCAAATTAGAGCTTTGATGTTTGCAACCGAACCATAAGCAGAACTTGAAAATTTCATAAAACTTCTGAAGTCTTCGTTTTTAATTTTTCGCTAATGTGCGGAATGCCGACAACAGTAAGTAAAAAGTTATGTTCCGCGAAATAATCCCGCTAAAGACCACACGTGCTTGAGATTCTCTCATTCGTCGTCGCCTTCCTCCTGCTGTCAACCGAGGTAATTAAAATTGATGGAACAAATAAATTTCCGCTGTTGTTTACACGACACACAATGTTAAGAGAGAAGCCTCCGTAATTACAGCGTTGCTTCTTGCGTCTTTGGTCGCCATTATACTGCTTTGTTTGAAATTTAAAACGTGTGTGTTCTGTGTACAGCGAGGCCCCAATTTGAAACGAGACAGCTTGATAAGTCCGGGATTGTTTATGAGGGAGGAACGGACATAATTGTACGAGGGCAATCCTTATTACGTCAGCTCCAATAAATTATGTTGGCAGTACGGAAAATCCGTTCATTGTCTACGGTTTATATTAATTAAGAGCGAACGCCGAGGATCATATTTAGTGAAACCTTTTTGTAAGGACGCGAGCTCACACCATGAGAACACCTCGCCCGGCGCATCCACCATTTCACGTATTCCCTCAAAGCCATTTATGTAAAACACTACAAACAACATCGCGCAACTGACCCACGTGTTTTTACTCAGGTAGCAAAACCGTCGTACAAGAATGGACTGGTACAGTCGATGGGATACAACATTTGCTGAAATAATTGTACGCTGAAGCCGCTGGTTAATTACGAAAACAATCATCACATTGTACATAAGACTAGAAATGTTTTTGTAGACGTAAAAAAACTACATTAATATTATACAATTTAAACAAAACGATCGTTTGTTCTCTCCTATAAAATATTTTAAATTCCCTATTTTATTCACTAGAACCGAGTAAAAGGTGTATGTATTCAATTCATACATTTACAATGTTGCCAATAAACACTAATCCAATCACGTAGTTTGTTATCTCAGTTGTGGTGTGTCATCAGCACCGAATACGTTGTGGTCGAGAAACAATGATTAAAGCCACGATGACCTGATTATACAATGATTAACATCATTTACAAAAAAAAATCCAATGTCGGAAGCCCGATTTAATGGGTCACGTATATATATGTCATGAGTGACCTCAGCCACTACGAATTCTTTTGAGAAGATAACGAAAAA